TCTTTCTGACGTACTCTGTTTAGTCTAATTACCTCATTTTCCATCCATGTTGTGAAATTTAAGATTTCACCTTATTTTTTGGCTGGGGACTGAAGCCAGGGCTTAACCCATGCAAGGGAAATTTGATACCACTAAGCAGCATCCCAGGCTAACATTAAAGTCTTTTTAAATAGCTCAGTAAAATTTGACTGAGCATATAAACCACTACTTTTTTTTTTTTCTTGCTTTTTGGGTCACATCCGGCAATGCACAGGGGTTACTCTTGTTCTGCACTCAGGAATTACCCCTGGCAGTGCTCAGGGGACCATATGGTATGCTGGGAATCAAACCTGGGTTGGCCGCGTGCAAGGCAAACGCCTTACCCCCTGTGCTATTGCTCCAGCCCCCCAAACCACTACTTTTTTTATTCCATTGTCCACTGATGGGTATTCTGGAGGTTTTATGTGTTGGTTATTGTAGAGTGCTGTACTGCAAATAGGGGAATAGGTTATTTTAATTAGTGCTTTCATATTCTTCAAATAAGGTAAACTATTATATATAGATGGAGAGTAAAATATTGTCATTATATTTCTTTTTTTTTTAACTTACAGTCCTTCCAGCCCCTTTGGGAAAGATTTCTAAAGAACTCTCTTGTATGTCATTTTTCTTTTTTATGTTATCTCTTGATGTAGACAGAGGGCTGAGCCTTGGGGAAATGAGTCTTCTAATCTCCCTTTGTTGAGCAAAATATATCAGACTCTAGAGTCAGATAGGTGAGGATTTTATCTTATTTTACTGTTTTTTTTTTTTTTTTTTGTGGTGCTGGGGGTTGAACGCAGAGCTTTTACACATGAAAGCCATGCTCTCCACCACTGAGCCACATTTAAGGCCAGATGAGTTTAATCTCTTCTGTACCTGTGATAAGCAAGGTGGCCTTGAGCTAAAGCCTCAAGGTCACACTTTTTTCTTTTTTTGGAGGGGAGTGGGTAACCAATGATGCACAGGGGTTACTCCTGGCTATGCACTCAGGAATTACTCCTGGCAGTGCTCAGGGGACCATATGAGACATTGGAGATCAAACTCAGATCAGCTGTGTGCAAGGCAAATGTCCTACCCCCTGTATTATTCTCTTTAACCCCAAGGTCTCACTATTTTCAAATATAATATGTGTTAGGAATCTGGGAGTGGCTTCTGGGACATTCTAGCTCAAGGTTATCTTGAGACTACAGTCAAGAGGTTGGTCATTGCTAGTCATCTGAAGGCCTGACATGGAATTGGAGAATGTTTTCAAAATGAGTGACTTGCAGTGGTTGGCAAATTGGTACAGGCCTTTGGCCTTAGCGAACTTTTACAGAAACTTTTGAACATGGACGCTGTCTCTACAGAATATTTGATTCACTGATAGTCTAGCTTTATTATATTTGTGTAGTGGCAGTATTATATCAACCTAATGGATTGTGTTTATGTTCAACTCATAATATACTTTGCAAAGTATATAGAACAAAGCATAATAACTTAAAAAAAAACCCTTTTAAATTTTTTGTCTTCTGAGATTGAATCCAAGGCTTTACACATGTGAAACATGTGCTAAGATACATCCCTGGCCCTTAAGAATTATTTTTTTTTGAGTAATATTTATGATTTCTGCCCAGGTTTACACTATTGTTTTGGCATTTCAAATGATTCTTTGAAAAAAACTCTTTTTTTGCAGTGTTTGGCCCTCAAACATGTACAGCAAGTGCTCTACAACTGACCTACAGCCCCTGCCAAATTCTTGATCATTCATATTTACTTATTTATTTAGTTTTTGGACTACGCCATGTGGTGCTCAGAGATCATTTATGGCAGTGCTTGAGGGAACGACATATGATACTGGGGACACAATCCTCATGGGCTTCATGCAAGGCAAGCACCATATCTATGGACTATGTCTCTCGTCCTATTCCTTTTTTTTTTTTTCGGGTCACACCCGGCAATGCACAGGGGTTACTCCTGGCTCTGCACTCAGGAATTACTCCTGGCAGTGCTCAGGGCATCATATGGGTTGCTGGGAATCGAACCTGGGTTGGTCGTGTGCAAGGCAAATGCCCTACCCACTGTGCTATCGCTCCAGCCCCTCTGGCCCTATTCTTTGATTTTTTTTTTTGTTTGTTTTTTGGGTCACACCCAGTGATGCTCAGGGATTACTCCTGGCTCTTCACTTGGGAATTACTTCCAGCGGTGCTTGGGGGGACCATATGGAATAGTGGGGATTGAACCTAGTTGGCCACGTGCAAAGCAAACGCCCTACCAACTATGGCTCTGGCCCTATTCTTTGAATTTTTATTTTGAAACATTAGTTTTTTTAAGTTAAAGAATTTTGTGGAGAGCCTTCCAAACAGTGCTCAGGGCATCCTGGGGGCACTTCTGCATTACGGGGTCAACCAGTTGACAGTTTACTACTCGGGCCAGAGGACGTGGTGCTGCTCAGGATCTGCAATGCTAGGGATTATTGGGCCACCCGAATGGTGTCTGGGGAGCCTACACAGCCAGACCTGGCTATGCATGTGGACCTCCCAGGCTACACCCTGTTATCCAGAAGCAATGTGCTGTTAGGGGATCAAACCTGGGTCAGGCACATGTATGGCGCGTGCCCTAACCACTGTATTATCAACCTGGCCCCTGAAGCATTCATCTCTCACGGATTAAATTTATGTATATGTTAAGTTCTCCAGCAATTTGAATCTTTATATAGAAAATGAAACAAAGTAATTTCAGGAGGAGAATTAATGTTATAAAAATGTTTGTCCATGAATTTATGTGAATGGCTCTTCAAGGCCTTTATGATACAATTTTTTTAGTGAAGAGTGGAAAAGATATACAGATAGACTTTATTGAGGAAGTCTAATATCTTGTTTGGAGCATCTTTTCAGGGATTTTGGTTTCTGAGGAATTCTACCTAACAGAGATTTATATCTTATGCAGCTATAAGCAGGGAGTGTTCCCTTATCTTTTAAAAGTTACCCAAATCCCAAAATTGGGAGGAGAGAAACGAATACTTTGGAATGCCAATCAGGCTTTTGAATCCTGATGAACAATTTAAGTTTACGGCTTCCTTTCTTCATTATTCCCTCTCTCTCCATCCTCCTTTCCTGCAGAACACTAACATTCTGCTTCTGTTGATCTTCTTGTGATCAGAAATGGCATTCCATCTTAATCAATGGTCCCACTGGGGATCCCTTTATGACTTTGCATCTGCAACTGGACAAGATCCTGGATTCTGTCCCGCCACAGTTGCCAGCCCTATTTTATTTCCATTAACTTCCTTGCTCATTGTTTTTGCTTCATGGTCAGGTCAACTCTTCCTAGGTCTATGGTGCTGGTTCCTGATGGCCCCACAGTCTCACCCCATCTAAGCTGCTTCCAGATTAATTTTGCCTGCCCCAAATTCTTTCATGTTCACTCAGTGTTATTAATGACTGGCTCAGTGTCTTAGCCTGGCACTGGAGGTGCTCCACCCACGGGCACCTTTTACATTTGATACTATCATCTTCCCTTTGACTATCCTAAAGGGGACACTCTCCTCTCCCACCCCTTAATTTGTTCATGCTGCTGACTTCCTGTAAATAGCGTAAGTTGAAAGGATCATCTGGAATACTACCTACCTCCATTGCAAGGATTTTCTTCAGGCCCTCTTTTCCTCCACCAGACTTACCTTTTTGGGATACTGGCTGAACTTTGTACCTCTTGTGATTAATTGAATCAATAAGTTAAAAAAAAATGAAAACACAGCACTTGTGTACTTATCTTATCATTCCTACAAGACTATGTATTTGCTCGAAAGGACAGCACTTAGTCATTTTTTCCCCCTCCTGCAAAATCGTGTTCATACAAGTAGGCCTTAAAACAGAAAAGCAAGCAGGGGTTAAAAACACCTATCCAAAAAAGATGGTAAATAGCAAAGAGCAAAACTCTGTGTTGACAAGGGACTGCCCTGCCATAGAGGCAGGGTGGGATGGGAGGGATATTATCCATGGTGGTGGAAAATGGGCACTGGTGGAGGGATGGGTGTTTGATCATTGTATAATAGAAACCCAAGCACAAAAAACTGTAAATCTACAACTGTACCTCATGGTGTTTCACTAAAAAACAAAACAAAACAAAACAAAAAACAACTCCGTGTTGATTGGACCCAATGCACAGTCACACAAATTAGAAAAAAAATCGCATAGCAGTGTAATCACATGCACGGGATGCTTTTTATCAATTTGCTGAAAATGGCTTGGTCCTATTCGCCAAGAACACAGAGGCATTAAGGGTTGGAACCCAGATGAGGACTTGAGGGCAAAAAAAAAAAAAAAAAAAATTAAAAAGTACCCTCAGCATCTTAATATTGCCCAAAGACACACAGGCTAACGTCCTGGCCCAAATTGTGAGAGGTTTGCTCAGGCGCCTAGGAGGCGCAGGGCCTTTCTAGAACTTTCCGGGGTGCAGGGGCGGGGGAGTGGGGGGGAGGGTTGCTGCTAGGCTCAGGCCGGCGGCGGCAGCAGCAGCAGCGCGGCGCCGGGCAGGCGGGCGGCGGCCGCGCACCTCGCAGGCCGTCCCAGTCCCTCCAGAACCGGGTCGACCGGTTCCCGCCGCGGCCCGCCCGCCGGGCCCCGCTTCCCCCGCAGGCCGCTGGCCGCGCGCCCTGGGCCCGGGGCGGGGTGGTGGTGGTTGGGGGGGGGGGGTGCTCTTCCCGTCCGTGCCGCGGGGCTGGGGGCGCGGCGGCGGGGAGCGCGGCGGCTCGGGGCCCGGGCGGCGCGGGGCGAAGGGCGAGCGGCCCGGCCGGGGGGCGGGGGGCCGGGCGGGGCCGCGGGCGGCGGCCGGGGCGGAGGGCGCGTTGCTTCATCCTGTGCATTTGCCGGGAAAGCGGCCGCATCCGGGGGCGGGGCCGGGCGCCGCCTATAAAGCGCCGCGGCGCCCTCGGCTCGCGCCCGTGCCCGGCTCTGCCCGCAGCCAGTTTAGCTGCTGGGCGTCCAACCGTCCATCCGTCCGTCCGTCCGTCTGTCTGCCTGCCTGCGCTCGGGGGCTGGGGGTGGGGGGTCGTCCAGTGCCGGAGCGCCCCGCCCGAGAGCATGATCGTGGACAAGCTGCTGGACGACAGCCGCGGCGGAGAGGGGCTGCTGCTGCTGGACGGCGACGGCGGCCTGATGAGCAGCCCGCTGCACCTGGCCTACTTCTACGGCGCGTCGCCCCCGGCCGCCGCCCCCGGCTCGGCCGCGGCTTCGGGGCCCTCGGCGCCCGGCTCGCCCGGCTCCGACTCCTCCGACTTCTCGTCCGCCTCGTCCGCCTCCTCGTCCGCCTCGTCCAGCGGCGCCGTCGAGTCCCGGCCGAGAGGGGGCGCTCGCGCCGAGCGGCTGCCAGGTACCGGCGCCGGCAGGCTGCGGGGTGCGCTACGGGGAGGTCGCGGGTTGCGGGGGGCGGGGAGGGGGGAGAGGGGGAGACGAGCGCCCGGGCGCGGGGCGCCTCCGCCGATGCTCAGGACCCCGCGGCACAGCGTCACCATGGCAACCTAGCGGGTGGCAGTGACCGGTCCTGGGCCGCGGCCTTGGCCAGTGTTTGATGTCACTCTTGCCCTGGGACCGTCCGGGAAGTCGGGTGCCCTCCAGCCCCCCTCTCAGCGCAGCGCTGACCCTTTTTGTTTGTTTGTTTTTAAGGGCGTGGGTGGGCGTTGGAAGGAATGAATCACTTTTTTTCCCCAGTGGTTAAAAGTTTTAATGATTGAATTAAATTGAATGGAGTGAATAATAAGCAAGTTAATAGACCCCATCGTCATTTTAGGAATGAGCCACTTTGGACTGGACTCTTGCTCCGGTCCCTTTCCCCCCACTATCCTTCCCCTCTTCATCACAACTCTCTTTGCCTTCCCCCTCATTCCCCCCTTTCACTTTATTATTAATCTGCAATTCACATCCTTCGCAGAGAATTTTGCATGTGGTGGCGCTTGGAATCTTTTTCCGTGTGACTGAGCGAAAGGCGCCGGTAGCCGCCGCCAAGTAGGGTTGGAGTGATGTTTAAGGTCATGACTTCTTTGGAAGGATTTGCGGAAACTTTGAAGTAGAAGAGGATTTTATGTTAAGTGAGCAGCTTCAAGATGTTTTAAGATAAAGCCGGACTGAAAAGTCGCTCAGTTTGTGCCTGATTTAGTTTGCTGATGTTTGCGAGTTTTGAAAGTCTGCCCGAGTTTTCTGCGGTCTTTTTCTCCGTGGTGCAGAATGGTTAAGCCTTGTCAGCGATGAAAAGCGTAATGTTTCCTTTCTCTGGCTGTGATTTGGTTAGTTTCTTTGTGAGTTGCATAATTTGGGAGAGAACAGGATAACACTGCGCACAGACTGACTAAGAGAACGGCTAGGTAATCTCAAATGTTGAAGGATCCAATCAGCATGATTTAACAAAACTATCTGGGTCCCTGTCCCTGTTTTGATCTTTTATTTTTCAAGGTGATTTTTAAAATTTTTATAAAAAAATTTTCAGTCCACAAAGTGCGTAAGGTCCTTCCTATGTTAGTGGGCAATAAATGCAAAAGTTGTGTTTAGAACTTTTTCTCCCACATATGGTCTTCATCTGGCTGAAAGAGTTTTGTTCCTTAGTTTGCCACATAGTCATAGGGGATTTCTGAAACTGAATTTTTCTCCTTGTGACGTTGAATAGTTAACTGCTGACGTTCCAGGAAAATGCTATTAGTTTCTAGCAAGATATGCTTAAATTGAGGCATAGAACCAATTATATGTTTAGTTTGTCCCATCCATGATTGTTTTTCTCGTATATGTACATAAGAGTGTGTGTATGTGTGTGTGTGTGTGTGTGTGCCTCCGGATAGTGCATTGTTTTTTGTCCCACCTTCTTTTTTCTGCTTTGAACAGTTTAGCTGAATTATTCATTTCCTGGCGTTTTGTGTGTTTACTTTATGTTCAGCTCATCCCATCAGGTTGTGAAATAATAGTGATAAGAAATGGAATATTGGGACTGGAGCAATAGTACAGCAGGTAGGGCGTTTGCCTTGCACGCGGCTGACCCGGGTTCGATTCCCAGCATCCCATATGGACCCCCAGGAGTAATTCCTGAGTGCAGAGCCAGGAGTAACCCCTGTGCATCACCAGTGTGACCCCCCCCCAAAAGGAAATGGAATATGATACTCATATTTATTTAACACATTAAATTGTATTTTAAAATTGAAATATGAAATGAAATTGTTTCCTTTTTTCTGAGAAGGCCTTTGTGAGAAGTTCCAAAAGACACTTGGTGATGAGAAATCCTATGTGTATACAGAAATGTGTTTAAGTTCAGTGAATTTAAGTAACTTTCTTGGCATAGCAGGAAGGAGGGAAATTATAAGAAACAAATCAAGATGCTCTTCTTAGGCTTTGATAGATACTTGTCTTGTGCCTGCTTAGATGGGGGAATTGCTAGACTTTTAAATTTCTGTCTGGGTGTAAATATCATTTATCCCTTGCTCCTCAAGGTTTTTCGAGAGTTAAGAATGATTATTGATCTGATAGTTAAGGTGATTCGGTCTCCTTTGTAGACAGTGCTAAGAGAGAAGGGAGCTTACTTTGAATTTCCTTTTGGCTCTGGGAAGCTCTGAAGTCACAGTCTTAGGGGCTGTGTGATTCCTTAAGGTGTCTGTTTGGGAAAGGTTTCAGGCAGCACATAATTAGTGAATAGAACGGAAAATTCTCTTGTGATGCCACTGAGCAGATCTAGTTGCAACGGCGTTGCAGTTATATCAGGGGCTTTGCTCGTTAGATAGTTATGCATTTGAGCTTATGAAGGTTGGTGTCTGAAAAAAACTTACTGGGACCTGTTTTGTTTTCTTTTGAACAGTTGAGCCCCATATGGGGGTTGGAAAGCAGCAGAGAGGACCCTTTCAAGGCGTTCGTGTGAAGAACTCGGTGAAGGAACTCCTGTTACACTTAAGAAGTCATAAACAGAAAGCTTCTGGCCAAATTGTGGATGATTTTAAGGTAGCACACTTAATTATTTTGGTTTGGAGTTGGAGGGAGGGCATTGAGTCTCTCAGAACAAGTATTCTCCTGGCAAAGGTTCAGTAAATTGTTTTGTACACCATATAGTCCATAGTACAAAAACGTACTTTTCTTGATAGCTGCTTTGTATCGGTCACCAGTATGAAGCAGTTGATGGGTACACAGGAGAAATTTGGTGAATGTATAAAATGAAAGCAAATGGGGGGCAAGGGAAATGATGCGTATCAATGGGACAGACATTTGACTAGAAAAGGAAAAATCTAAATGTCTTATTAAGTTCATCACGATGTAAGTTGAACTAAGGTCAAAGTGAAAATGGGCAAGGGGCAAAATAGGATACAAATTAAAAATATATATTGATAGAATAATGATGTCAAAAGCTTATGGTGACTATATAGAGTGGTAGAGAGATGTCTGTTGATGCATATTGAGCATAGTATAACATCTTTTATATATTAAATTAGAAATTCTTTTTCCTTGCAGTCACAAGTTGTAAACAGAGAGCAGTTCACAGGTAAGAGTTACTTCTCTTCAGAATATGGGGGCTTTAGTTCAAATAGTTTAGTGTGATTAGAGGTAAAATTTTGGAAAACAAAATCATCACAGATTCCATATTCCTTTCTGGGGTGTAGAATTGAAGACCTCAGGATCATATAGTGCTAAAAGGAAAGGACCTGATTCTTCTGATGGACCGGCTTGCAAGAGGCCAGCTTTGCTTCATACCCAGTTTTTGGTATTTTCCTCTTTTCCTCGGACTACCCTTCAGAAAATTATTCGTGGAATAATTTTGGGAAGGAGTGTTCAACTTTCTCTGTCTCCCTTTCTAGACACCGCCTCAAACACCAACGCCTGGGGAGAGCATGGAAGATGTTCATCACGCTGAATCCAAGCCAGACAGCAGTGCTGATCTGCTTCAGAACATCATCAACATAAAGAATGAATGCAGCCCGGTGTCCCTGAATACCGTCCAGGTGAACTGGACCAACCCCATGGTGGTTCCTCAGAGCTCCCCTGGAGAGCACAGCCAGGAGTTCCCTGGAGGGCAGGCCATCCCTCCACCACAGAAGTACCCGCCGTTTCACGCTGGCAGCTCCCCCTACATGATGATGGATCAGGCCCCCCTGTTCCAGTACTCACCACAAAACCAGAACGCGCAGCTGCCGCCGCAGCATTCTCAGCACTATGCCCACAGTCCCTCTCTGGAATGTGGTACTTATTCCAGAACCTCCCAGTCCCCTAGCTACGAACCAAATCTCTTTGATAGTCAAGAACCTCAGTTCTGCCCAAACCAAAGTTTCACCTCCCTTCTCAGTAGTCCTGGGGACTCTGAGGCCACTGCTGTTCCCACTCTGGCTCCCTCCTGTGCTCAGCAGCAAAGTGATGCCCACTTGCAGAACTTCAACATGATGCTGCCCGGTGCCTGTGAGACTGTGGTGGGGCAAGACGCAGGCTCTGCCTCGTTAAACACTTCGCAGCCATTCCAGAACTTTGCCGGAAATTCCATGAACACCGCACAGTTAGGAAAGTCATTTTTCCAGTGGCAAGTTGAGCAGGAGGAAAGCAAATTGGCAAATATCTCCCAGGACCAGTTTCTCTCAAAGGATGCAGATGGTGACACGTGAGTATCCCTTTAGGTTCTTCCCAGTTTGTTAACTCAGGACTTCCTGGATACCGTGGGCACAGGATTTCTCTAGGGTGTCCTCAGCTAGACCTCTTAAGTGGTTGGCTAGCCAGAATGACTCTTGTGCGGAGAGACTGCTATTCATTGACCGCCAGTATTTCAAGGAAGAGTTTTTTTATTTTTCAGACTGAATAGATTATCTGACCTAAATTAATAAAAATCTACATTATGTCTAGGGCAAAAGTACATCTTGATTAGCTGATTGTGATCACCTGTGAGTTGATCTGTAGTCTGACATTTTTGTGGTCTTAGGGAAGTTATTTTACCTTTCCGTGCCTCCATTTCTTGACATGTAAAGTGAGGATATCTTTCTCACAGGGCTTTTCCTGAGTATTAAATATACTAAATATATTTTAGGTAATCAGTATGGCACTTGGTGTTCTTATTTCTGGTCGCTCCTTTTAATCCTTCTGCTGTAGCTTTAGGTATTTGGTTGACCTAAGACTGATTATGCTCTGTAATGCTTCAATTGTGTCCAGCAACGTAGAAAGGGAGGGGCTAATGGAAAAAAACCTTTTTTTTTTAAATAAACGAACTTTGTGAACACAAAATGGAATATGATTCTTATTCCTCTTTCCTTGTCTGTCAGATTCCTTCATATTGCTGTGGCCCAAGGAAGAAGGGCACTTTCCTATGTCCTTGCCAGAAAGATGAGTGTGCTACACATGCTGGACATCAAAGAGCACAATGGGCAGGTAAAGATCTTGGTAGTGAAGTAGCAAAGGCGTGGGCATGGTAAACAGTGATCAGCGATCAGCAGTCTCATTTCGATCATGTCCAAGCTCAAGACCAAGAGTTTAGTTAATATTAACTTTGAGATGTTGACTCTTTGTCACCATTAACCTTGAAGTTATTAACATTAACTCTGTAGTTATTTGAGTAAAGGCTAACTCGGTATAATAAAGCCACACCTAAGCTTATTTTAGTGTCCCTGTGTTACAGTTTCATATTATTTATTAATGTCATTTATTTTCTCCGCGTGGGATTTCCCCTTAGTCTTTGTTTCAGCTCCTATTTCTTGTTAGAATAGTGTTAGGTGACAGACACTTTTTCAGAAGTAATTGTTTCTTCTCACTATTCACAGAGTGCCTTTCAAGTGGCAGTGGCAGCCAATCAACATCTCATTGTGCAGGATCTGGTGAACCTTGGGGCCCAGGTGAACACCACTGACTGCTGGGGAAGAACCCCTCTGCATGTTTGTGCTGAGAAGGGCCACTCCCAGGTGCTCCAGGTGAGTCAGCAAACCAGCTTCTATTATTCTAGGCATGGGAGGGCCGAAGAGACGGCTCAGATGATAGAAGCTGCACGTAGGTTGACTGTTGCAGCTGGTCCATGGACCAGTCCTGGTCTGCAGGTGTGGATAGGTTGAAGAACTCTGGCCTATTGCAGTTACCAGTTATGGTGGCTTCTTAATTGCAGTACTAATTAGATAAGCATTTATGTAGCTTATCTTTTGCTAATTTTTGTCTTCTTTAAAAAAATTGCAGGCAATTCAGAAGGGAGCCATAAGGAGCAATCAGTTTTTGGATCTTGAGGCAACTAACTATGATGGTAAGCAGCTGAAACTGTACTGGGCGAAAGACCAATTTGAGTGTGGGGCCCATTGATTCTGAGAATGTTAAGTTTCGTGAGGAAGGGAGAATATCTAAAGCCTAAGTATTGTCTATCTAAAATAAGCATTAAGACCCAAGGGAGGGAATATTCAGACCTCCTTACTTGTTCTTGTAGAGCGAATACATTTATTGGATAGACTCAGGGCTGTCCTCAAGGTTGATAATTAAGCCATTGAAAGACTTGATGGGATGCTCACCCACTGCCTTATTCTGCCTTTTCTAGGCTTAACTCCATTGCACTGTGCAGTTGTGGCTCACAATGCGGTGGTACATGAACTTCAGAGAAATCAGCAGCCCCATTCACCGGAAGTTCAGGAACTTTTACTGAAGAATAAGAGTCTGGTTGACACCATAAAGTGTCTGATTCAAATGGGAGCAGCGGTGGAAGCTAAGGTAAATACATAGAAAAGCTTGAGATGGGACAGGGGAAAAATGAGGTCATAGCTGAAGGCTTTATTCCTGGGTATCAATGAAAACTTTTCGTTTTAGTCTGTTTAAATTAATGGAGTGAATAACAATGTATGACTAGTTAAGAAGATTTAAAAAAATCATCTCAATTAATTGCTTTATTTTGCTTTTCTGTGGATTAGCAACCAAAAGATCATTTAATGTGAAATAAGTTAGTATTTATTTGAAAGGAAAAGGGATGCTTGAAATTGGTATCACGTGAGCTTCATTATCAAACACTGATAGTAACTGTAATTTTTCTTGAAAGGGCTTCTTGATTGTTGGACCAGGGCTTCTTGAGGTTGAACAGAAAATTTTCTGTTTCTTAAATTGGAAAATAGTTTATTTTTTTTTTCTTTTTCTTAAATATATATTTATTTAGTTTTAGTGAAACACCATCAGGTACAGTTGTAGACTTACAGACTTTCATGCTTGGGTTTCACTTCTACAACGATCGAGTACCCATCCCTCCACCAGTGCCCATTCTCCACCACCAATGATCCCAGTAGCCCTCCATCCCCCCACCCCGCCCTGCCTCTGTTGCAGGGCATTCCCTTTTGTTCTCACTTTCAAACTTTAGGGTGTTGTGGTTTGCAATAGAGGTATTGAGTGGCCATCGTGTTCTGTCTATAGTCTACTTTCAGCACACATCTTGCATCCCGAGCAGATCCTCTAAATCCCCTTGATTTGGTTTTCCCTTCTCTATCTGAGCTGCCATGAAGATAGTTTATTTTTCTTAAATGAGAATTATATACTGAGTATCTCCTACATACACATACATATGTACATACTGTGTGATACAAAAGGTGAGGGATACAGCTACAGTCGACACGGTGGTTACTGAATCTGCAAACAATGATAAATGGCTCACGGTATACATTAAAGTATCTGATAAAACCTGTCATCGATGCATTCTGTCTGGCCACTTTTTATTGAAGGATCTGCTGTGATGATTTCTATGAACACATTTCATATAGAGGATTTAGAAAGAATTAAAGCTTCCTTTAAATTTGGGGCTATGGAAGGCTTTGTAAAAATGGGAGCACTCAAAGGGAGTCTCCAAAGCGCTGAGATTCTTAAGGGAATGGGTGAAAATGCGTCTCTGTGGCATGGTGTTCATTTTTATTTGTTTTTGTCCTTGTTCAAGGATCGTAAAAGTGGTCGCACAGCCCTGCATCTGGCAGCCGAAGAAGCCAATCTGGAACTCATTCGCCTCTTTCTAGAGCTGCCCAGTTGTCTGTCATTTGTGAATACAAAGGTACTTTGAGAAAGCTTAGAACTGCCCAAGAGGTGGAATGGCCTTTACACCTCCTTCAAACAGTTGAGCTGTTTTTACGAAAGCACCCCTTCCTGATGCATGCCATTTCGTCCTTTGATGTGCAGGCTTACAATGGGAACACCGCCCTCCATGTTGCTGCCAGCCTGCAGTACCGTGTGACGCAGTTGGATGCTGTCCGTCTGTTGATGAGGAAGGGAGCAGACCCAAGTACACGAAACTTGGAAAATGAACAGCCAGTTCATTTGGTTCCTGATGGCCCTGTGGGAGAACAGGTGAGATCGCAGAAGGGAGAGGAATCAGGGGAAGGTAGCAGGAGAAGAGATGGTGGGGGGAGGACACCAGGTGGGGAGCTTCATGTGGACTTTGCCAGTGGCCACCTCTTCTTGGTAGTTGGATCGATTTGAAGTTGGTCACTGTTACCAAAGGAAGAAAAAGAATCTCAGGGTTTTTCATGGACTAATATGATCAAAGGTCTGATAGTTACCTCTCCCTGACAGCTCATTCTCTCTCTCTCTCTCTCTTTCTCTCTCTCTCTCTCTCTTCCCCCCTCCCTCTCTCCCTCCCTCCCTCCCTCCCTCCCTCCCTCTCCCTCTCCCTCTCCCTCCCCTCTCTGTCTCCCCCCCCCCCCCCCCCCCCCCAGCCATATCTGGTGATGCTTAGAGGACCTTGCAGTGCTAGGGATTGAATCCATGTCTCTACACGCAAAGCATGAGCTCAAGCTATTCTGTATTTATGTTTTAAATTCCATAACTACAAATGCAAACTCAAAATTATCCAGAATGGTGTGAGTTGTGGAAACTGATGAAAGAGCAAGTACTAAGGCTCCTGTGACAATAAGGAAAGAGAATCTTAGTTTTGTGAGTTGTTGATGGATTCTTCAAATATTTAAGGAGTGGGTATTTAAGGAGTATCTTAGGAAATATCAACCTTTACAATTATTCTTGTCTATCGGTTTATGCTGAATAAGAGACAAGGAATTTATGTAATTTAGCACAGCGGTAGGGCGTTCGCCTTACAAGCGGCCAACATGGCTGACCCAAGTTTGATTCCTCCGCCCCTCTCGGAGAGCCCGGCAAGCTACCGAGAGTATTTGATATGCCAGACACAGTAACAACAAAGTCTCCAATGGAGACGTTACTGGGCCCGCTCGAGCAAATCGACGATCAACGGGAGGGCCTTTACTTTACTTTTACTTACTTTACAATTTAAAAGGGCTGGAGTGGGTAAGGCCTTGTGTGGTAAGCCTTGTGTGGCTGACATGGCCAACCTGGGTTCGATTCCTCCACCCCTCTCAGAGGGCCTGGCAAGCTAAGAGAGTATCTTGCCCGCATGGCAAAGCCTGGCAATCTCCCTGACATATTCAGTATGCCAAAAGTCTCACAATTTGTTTTGAGACATTACTGGTTCCCATTGGAGCAAATCGATGAACAATGGGAGGACAGTGCTACAGTGCTACAATTTAAAAATAAAAATTATACTTTAAATGAATCCTCTGATAATTTGCAGAGTTTTCATTTACATTGTAACAATGGTTTCAAAAACTTTAGCTGAGGAAATGGAATTTAAGAAAGGGTCTAGGAATTGGAACTATCATTAGTGACTGGCAATCATAAGCCTAGTGTTGGCTTCTTTGCTGTTTGTGGTGTGAATTCATATCTGATGTTTTCAGAGATTATTGAGTCTGGAGAGCTGTTTGACTTTTCACAGAATGCCCTCAAATTGCTTTCTTTTCTAGTTTTGTATTTTTGTGTCTGCAAGTGTGTAGGGATTCAATCCTTTGCTTCTGTTGTGTACAATATGTGAAAGCATATTTCACTTGTTTTCTCCAGTCTCCTAATGTGCTTTTAATCTGTTATGGTTGAGTGACAGATAGCATTTTCAGACTGGCTTCATAAAATTAATCACTAAGTCACGTGGCCCTGGAGTCTTTCCTGGGATCTGCAAAGTTATGTGCAGATGCTTTCATTCTTGGGTATGGTGACAATTATCTTGACTTGAAAGGTGTTAAGGATTTGCTTGTGTATGTAAGGTGGGTCTGGATTCTTGTTCTATGAGACTGACTTCAAGTAGGGGAGGTATTATCAGAATTGCTCCCTTCTATTAAATCTTTTCAAATACCAGTAGGAAATATTAGGAAAGGAATATAAATATTCTTTAAGCTGTTGGAAATATTAAGGCTTTTGATAATTTTTTTTTCTTTTTGGGTCACACCCGGCGATGTACAGGGGTTACTCCTGGCTCTGTACTCAGGAATTACTCCTGGCGGTGCTCATGGGACCATATGGGATGCTGGAATTTGAACTTGGGTCAGCCAGGTGCAAGGCAAACGCCCTATCCGCTGTGCTATTGCTCCAGCCCCAGCTTTTGATAATTTTTAATGCACATACTTTACTTTCTTGCATTGAAACCACTGTTTTAGATCTGTAATAAGCTTTAAATTGCCTTAGATTCTTGACACACATCATTGCATATTTCTTTGTATATTTTCACGTTGAGAGAAGTGGTTAGAATATAATAAAGGAATGAAACTCTGAAGGAAAATAATGGCACCTTGAGTATCACGCATAAGTCTCACAAATTCAATTTGTTTTCATTCCAGATCCGACGTATCCTGAAGGGGAAGTCCATTCAGCAGAGAGCTCCACCGTATTAGCTCCACTGACCTGGAGCCGGGTTGGCAACACTCACTGTCAGTTAGGCAGTCCTAATGTATCTGTACATAGACCATTTGTCTTGTATTGGCAAATGTAAGTTGTTTCTATGAAACAAACATATTTAGTTCACTATTATATAGTGGGTTACATTTTAAAAAAAAACAAGAAAAATAACTAATTCCTCTTGGCAGATTTTACTATTTCATACCCAGGTATCTGGGATCTAGACATTTGAATTTAATCTGAATGGTAAAATTGACTTCAATTAATAGTAGCTTTGATAGTCAATGCTTTAATTTGTGGCATTGGACACTGCTCATGGAGCTGTTGCCAGATTTCAGGCAGGTAAATTGCAGACATTTTTAAAAGAAAAATGAAATGCAAAAGAAAAAGCATAAATCTGGGTGTGATAGTATCGAAACTTCATTTGGCCTGACGGAGGGCCTCTGCAGCTGTCAACTGTTGGAAATCTAGTCATTGCACTCCATGAAAGGTGCCATTGATCTTTGCAAACTATATATATATATATTTGTTATTTTGTTTTTTCAAATATTTGTATATGTTTGGTGACATTAACATATTTAGAAGGTGTAAATCAGTAAAAGCATACAAGAGCAAGAGAATTGTCACTGTTTTAAGAAATACATATTCGAGGAGCTGTTGTTACGGAATCCCCCAACATTAATATCTTTGTGGATGAGCAGATGCACAGTTGTTTTTAGTGGCTGACAGAACTGTTTGAATTGTAAATATGCTTTTTCTCATGCATCGATGTGAGACACATTATTTGTAGGTAATTGCATGTTCTTAAAGAGAACGCTTCCTGCGGATCACTTTATAGGATTTATAATCTACTTGCTCTGTTAGAATTTTTGTTTCACCTTAATAGGAGCAACAGAAGTCAGTACTGAAACACGTCTTACCGTTTTCTTACGTCAAATAGTGATAACGCACCATGACATTTTATATTAGCTTTCAGGAAGAAAAAAATGTTTTTACCTACCATCTGTTTATTAATGATTACTTTGCTTGCCTTTTGCATGCCCCAAGAATGTATTTGATTTTGATTGCACACTAATTTTTTTTGTTATAAATTAGATTATTTCAAAATATTTAAAAAGATGAGGCCTCACAAGCAACTAAGCAATGGCTTGTGGCTAAGGACTTAACTCTTTTATGAAAAAGTTGTCTTTTAGATCACATTTTTTGACTCAGTATGTCCTGTGAACAACAATTGTTACTTGATATCTGTAAATAATGGTAGTGAGAAAAACTAGCCTATCCACACTCATGGTTTGTGCCTGGTTTTAAATAAACTTTAATTCAGAAGAACTATCTGTCTTGTGGATGTGCATTTTTTTCCTAGTTCTTAAAATTCAGGTTGAAAAGTGCTTTCCATTACTAGTGTAAAGATACACCTTTAGGGGATGGAGGGGAGTTGGAGGAAAACATTACATTTCTGAAACTCTATCATGAATAACTTTGTAATTTCAGGGTGACTAAATAAAAAAAAATACATTTTCCATGATTGTAGGATAACACTGTTTTTGTCCTTCCTGCATAGCCTCAGGTAGTTTAGGTTTATTGGGCTGCTCCCATCACAGTGCTCCCATTCCTCTGTGTTTATTTGTAGCTTTTTTCTTTGTGCTCTGTTAACTTGTAAATATTGTTTTTCTCTTCTCCCTATGTCCTTTGCATAATGTATTCAGAGCAATGTCCTTTTTGTATGGACACAAGAAGACATGTTTTTGTAACATGACTCAGTGATATTTCCCTCCTGGGCATCTGTTCTCTCACCTAAGCCTCAGCTGCCTTTACTTCCTAGCGCCCCCAAAAGCAGGGTCCCGATGAGGGACTGGATGGAACCAGGGCAAGCAGTGAGCTATGTGCTACCCGGCATCGAGATGGGCCTGGCCAAAGTGCCATAATGCTTAATTCTAAGAGCTTGGTCATGGACAAATGCTGTCATGATCCAAAAAGTAGTAACTAGATTTGGACCCTGCTAGGGTTAGGAATGATTAACCAAGCCTGCTCGAATCAGGGATGAGCATCCTCCACCCAGATCCTCCATCTTCCAGTAGGCAGGGGTCACACTACCAACGCGCGCCACCCCTCCCCCCCCCCACCCGTGCTGTGTAATCCCATCAACGGCCAAGACCCAGAGACTAAAACCCAGCTCCCGGAATGCAGCCGTGCGGCATCTTATTATCTCATTCTTGCTTTGGACAACTTGGCAGGCTACCGAATGTAACCTGCCCACACGGCAGAGTCTGGCAAACTCCCCATGGCAGAGTCTGGCAAACTCCCAATATGCCAAATACCAGTAACAATGTTGGGTCTCATTCTCCTAACCCTAAAAGAGCCTTGAATGTGGCACTTTTTAGAATCTCAGGACTAGGACGAAGGAGACCTTACTGGTACCTGTTGAGGCAATCTACGAACAACAGGATGATCCGTGAATCTAGCCTGAGCTCTGTAGTCTGTGAGTCTGTGGCAAGATGTTCCCAGGAGAGCTGCCCTACAAGCCTCTGTTATCTGTTACTGTGTCCATACAAAAATACCTAGTATTGATATGTTGATAGTTATTTGATTGAAGAAAAGAGAAAAACACTTTTAAGGAGGTATTTTGCCTGGGGTAGTCAGGAAGGGCTTTAGAATACCTATCAGGTGGGCCCTCAGGAAAGGTTTTCTTATGTTGATTTTGCTACCTGATCGGGTGCAGTGTCAGTCCCAGAGTGCTGGGGAGTTGGAGGCAAGAGAGCTGGAGAGGAGAGAGAGCAGGGCAGCATGATGGACCGTGGAGAGGCTAGCAAGGGGCACAGAGAAAGAAGAATGTAGAAGAATACAGGGGGGAGAGAGAGAGAGAGAGAGAGAGAGAGAGAGAGAGAGAGAGAGAGAGAGAGAGAGAGAGAGAGAGAGAGAGAGCGCGCCCAGGCTGCGAGGTGGAGCATGGAATGATGAGTGGGAGAAACAGTAGGAGACGGGAATGGGAGGCTCAGAGAGACTGGGGCTGGTGCATGGCGAGAATGGAATAAATGGCAACTGATCAGTCAACCGACTTGGCCCTCGTTTCGTCCACCGTCTGCCCCACGGCCCGGACTGCCTTGGCTGCAGGAGCAGGATAGAATGACCACTCATTTCTGGAATGTAAAAAAAAAATAGAATGAGACTAATATCCAAGGTCAGGAGGACTGGTCAACTGGTCAGTGGTTGGAAGCTTGGCACAGTTGGCACAATTGTGTGTGGTGGGGCAAGGGCAGTTAGGATAGAGAAGGGACCAGTATGGTAATAATAGTTAGAAATGATCACTCTGGACAAGAACTGAGTGTTGAAAATAAGTAAAGGGATATACATGGTAACCTTCAGTATTTGTACTGCAAACTGTTATGCCCAAAATGTGTGGTGTGTGTGTGTGTGTGTGTGTGTGTGTGTGTGTGTGTGAGAGAGAGAGAGAGAGAGAGAGACAGAGAGAGAGACAGAGAGAGACAGAGACAGAGAGACAGAGAGACAGAGAGAGACAGTGCCTGTCACAGAGACTGGGTGGAGGGGGCCAGCAGGAGGGAAACTGGGGACATTGTTGGTGGGAAATGCACTCTGGTGAAGAGATGGGTGTTGGAACATACTTCTGAAACCCAATCATAAACAATTTCGTATATCACTGTGATTCAATTAAAAAAATAAATTATGGTTTGGGCATGTGTAGGATAACATTGATTTGTCCTTCCTGCATAGCCTCAGCCACATTACTCCCATTGCTCTGTATTTATTTGTAAACTTTGTGCTCTTGTTGACTTGTAAATATTGTTTTTCTCTTCTCCCTAAGTCCTTTGCATAGTTTATTCAGAGCAATGTCCTTTTTTGTATGGACACAAGAAGACAGTATATGCTATACTTTTGTAACATGACTCATTGATATTTTCCTCCTGGGTATGTGTTCTCTCAACCTAAGCCTCAGCTGCCCTTACTTCCTAGCATCCCCAAAAGCAGGGTCCCGATGAGGGACTGGATGGAACCAGGGCAAGCAGTGAGCTATGTGCTACCTGGCATCGAGATGGGCCTGGCCAAAATGCCTAAGTTAAGAGCTTGGTCATGGACAAATGGTGTTACGATCCAAAAAGTAATAATTAGATTCGGACTCTGCTAGGGTTACGAATGATTAATCTGGCTTGAGCTCTGTAGTCTGAGTCTGTGGCAAGATGTTCTCAGGAGAGCTGCCCTACAAGCCTCAATGTATCTCTTACTGTGTCCATACAGAAATCACTAGAATTAAGATGTTGATAGTTATTGGACTGAGGAAAAGAGAAAAATACCTTAAGAGGTATTTTGCCCATGGGCAGTCAGGAAGGGCTTTGGAATACCCCTAGGTGGTGTTTCCCTGCCCTTGAACCTGGCAGTCAGGAAGGGCTTTCTTATGTTGATTTTGCTACCAGAGTGAGTGTGGTGTCAGCTCAGAGAGTGGAGGAGTTAGAAGAGGGCTGGAGAGAGAGGAGAGAGGGAGCAGGGAGGCAAGACGGAGTGAGAAGAGACTAGCAAGGGGGACAGAGGGAGAAGAATGTAGGGGAAGAATACAGGAGCAGGCACGTGGAGAAATAGAGCCCAGGCTGCGAGATGGAACTCGGAGAGATGAGCGGGAGAGACAGGAGGAGGCGGGAATGAGGGGCAGTGTGAGACTAGAATGGGGGGCTCAGAGAGACTGGAGCAGGCGCGTGGGGAAAATGGAAAAACCGGCATCTGATCAACGAGCTTGGCCCTCATTTCCTCCACCATCTGCCCCATGGCCCGGGATGCCCTGGCTGGGGGAGCAGCTTGGGGCCCACCCTGAACCCAGGCGCTAGGAGAAGAGCCTCTGGGGAACCCCTAGCCGCCCCGGGAGATTTTATACAGGCATGTAGCTGAGCAGTTGAACATTTACAAGGCCATGTGTTTGATTCCTGCATCGCAACTTCCCCCCCCCCCCGCCCCCCAACAAATTTAAAATACTTTGTCTGGGAGATGGTTCGAAGCGCTAAAAGTACAAGGTTTGTACGTGTGAGCTTTGGAGTTGATCCCTGGCTTCGCCTATCTCTCTTGTGCCACTAGCTGTGAGTAGTCCCAGCTCTGCCAGGTGGGAGCCGAAGTCAAACCACCTCTCGCTCCTCCAAAAATCACAACCCCTCTCTTTGACATGCTCATTGGTAGAGTTTTGTTGGGTTCTGAAAACATAATGGAAGTTTTAACGCCTATTTAGAAATTTACGTGCTTAAAAGCCAATCTTTATGGCTAGTCTTTGCCACATATTGTGGGAGCAGAAAATGTAGGGAAAACAATTTGGGGATTACTAGGATCATCTGGAGAGTTGTGAACTGGGAACAGCAGAAAATGGGCCTTAACTTTTCTATCCAGCCGGTTGTCCTGATGACACCAGCTCATCTCTGTAGATGTCAGATTATTGAATGTGGTCTGGCCTATAATCCTTTTTGAGATTTTGGTGAAAGCTATGAATCTTTCCCCTGGGAAAACTGTGCCTGTGCATTTCAAACACTTTTAAAAATTGGATTATCATTGGTTTATAAGAAACAGTTTTATGGAATTGGAGGGGTTTAGTTTCACATCTTTATGACACTTAAAATATTTAAAGCATACTTTTAAGCATTTTTAAATGAGAATAAATGTTTAAGTACAACTTATAGTAATGTGATTCTAGTTCTGTTTCTACATCTTAATGATAAAGTTTCTGTTCTTTTCAGATATCTTTTCCCAAGTGAGCTTATGTGTTCAAGGTTCTCTTACAATAGAACCAATGCCTAGCAAGCATAAGATGTGTGTGTGTGTGCGCGCGCGCGCGTGTGTGTGTGTGTGTCTGTGTAAAAAGACTAATGACAATACAAGTCAGTGGCATAGAATGTTTCTTAAGGTGCTTATATAAGGAGTCTTCTATTTTTATTTTAAATTTTTGGCTTTTTGGGTCATACCCAGCGATGCACAGGGGTTATTCCTGGCTTTTCACTCAGGAATTACTCTTGGCATTGCTTGGGGAACCATACGGGATGCTGGGAATCGAACCCGCGTCGGCTGTGTGCAAAGCAAACACCCTGTCTACTGTACTATCACTCCAGGCCCATGAGGAGTGTTTAAGGTGCTCAAGTGGAAGAGCACATGCCTTGCATATGTGAGACTCTTGTCTCAGACCCTAGTGCCATGTGGTGCCTTAATGGTGTCTGTGGGGCCCTTCCCTCCCTTCACACCCATCCTCCCCACACTTGGGGCTTTGACTCATGAGCCACTATTGGTGTGACTACCCTAGCAACCACAGCAAAATGACAACAAAAGATGTTGATGTGGGAGACATAATGT